CTCTCCCCTACGTATTGTCCTTGAGTATAAACGCCATCCAGCACAAAAAGGGGACAAGCAGCAACTTGGTCACTAAGATGTAGGGCAAGGGGCCTGTGATAAAATTTTCAAAAGCACCGATGTGAGTCAGGAGCCTCAGTCCCATTTTCCAAAGTGACACCGTATTTGTGCATGAGACCTAGTGAAAGAATGTGACCTGTCTGGTTTTACTGTATACAGCAGAGTCATTAGTAACAGAGGAAAGGGATTAATGGTCACTACCTGAGGCCAACTTCTGCTGTCCATTACGCACTATAAATACAGAGTAATTCCACGAGGGTCACAGGCTGTTAGTGGTGCAACGGAGAACAGAATCTAGCCCATAAAGAGGTCATTATCTTTCTTATTACATTTCTTACGTTCCTGTAAATGAAGCACTGAGCCCTCAGCTCTCATCTCAGCTGGTACGAGGCCTCGCCGGCCGACTGCAGTCCCTGTCACTCCTGTTAACCTGGAGCCGGTGAGCACTCTTTGCGGTTGCTGTGATGTTGCTCACAATCTCATGGCACAAAGGATTAGGCTTTTGCTCCTGCTATATGTTCTGACACACTGCCATGTTCAATGGCGCTCTGAACTGAGACACCGAAAGGCCAAAGGGCCTGCAGATAAACTAGCGCAATTCTCCAAATGGCCTGAGATTAGCGTAAAGGGAAGGAAAATATTTGTTCCCCGGACAGAATCCCTAACTGTGAGAGAACCTCAGAACAGTGAATTCTGGCCAGGCTTGGCGGGTGTGAGAGGAGGGCAAGCTTGCCTGAGGCTGACTGATCTGCAGTGATATTGCATGGGATCCGTTGGTAGGTCACAACAGCACAGTGCAGTGAAGCTGTTGGCACGGAGGCTGAGAACACACCCTTGACAAGCTGTGATAGCTGCACTCATGTTGCCTAATTTCCAAACCCTCTCAAACACGGTGGGTTCAAAAGTTCAACGTGAACTTGAATGATATTGGGTTCACGTCCTCTGCCTGCCCGGCAGGAGAGAATGGTAAAAAGGAGCCAGGGAGGAGAGAGAAAAAAGAAAGAGGATTTCTTTTCAGATGTGTCTGCTGCACCTACTGTGACTGCACTCTTTGGGTTTTGTTTTGAAGCTTTTATTTAAGAAAAATGAACAGAGAAAAAAAATCCAAGGCAAAATAAAGGGAAGGCAATTATATGATGTCATCCTGCCTTTATGTTTCAAAGATTGAAAATTTTTGGTGGAATGCTAGAGTAGTTAGGTGTGACAGACAGACAGACAGATAGATAGATAGATAGGCTTCATGATTAATGGAATTTACATTGATTCTGACACTCCAGACCATATGTATCTAAAGACAGCGGTTGTTCTATGTTTTGCTATTTTCATGCAAGGAAGGCAGTGGGTCAAATTCTGCCAAACTTTACAATGGTATAAACCCACAGTGGAATTGTTCAGCATTTACGGAAGAGTAACGGAGAGATGAATTGGGTCACAAGGTGCTATATATGCTGCTAAATAAATAAATAATAATAAATGTTCCTGGACATTTTTGTGCCAGACGTATACTGTGAACCAGAGGCTGGTGAAAGCTGGGTGGGGAGATGTGGTTTGGGGCAGTGAACATATATATTACGGGAGATCTGTGTTTTTTTTCCTGTGCAATCTGTGGGTGTAGACATGGTTACATACCCTGTTTTAAAATTTAATTACAATTGTTGTATATAGAACCATTGAACCACAGGAGTATAAGGCAGTGCCAATATCAGATATTTCAGAGGAGGGTGCAAGATATCTCATAATGGACAATGATAGATTAAGCTGCTGAACACTGAAAGTTTCTTCCTAACCCTAGGCGGTTGGCTTCTATCATAAAGCATGAGAGTTTGTGTCCTTCATACGTTTTTATCCAGTCGAATATAACTGTAGATGTTCTCATTATCCATATAAGTGTCTAATCCTCTTTTGAGTCCTGCTAAGCTCTTGGCCTCAATAATACCTCGTGGCAATGGCTAAAGTTTTGGCATTTGCACAGAGCCTGAGACAGGTACAGAGAGGAAGTTGGAATCGATACACACAATAAAATAAATCAATCCTATTTTGGGAATGCTTGGATCCAGGCTTGTCCTCTGGGCTCATCTCAAATTGGGACAAGCAGCACTGAACCAGTAGGCTAGAATCTGACCCACTGAGATCTCTGGAGAAACGTCTGATTGACTTCAATGACAGCAGAGTTAGGCAAAGGCTGATTGGTAACACACTGCATTTTCCATAGCAAAGAGGTCCACAGAGCACAGATAGTGTTCCAAGTTTTTTCAAATCATATTGTTTGCACGTCGCTCCTCACTAGCTGGGATTGGCCAGCCTGGGAGCGATTTGGGTTTCTGCAATATCTCTGGCTGAAAATATTTTATATAGGGCTGGAGGGAAAACAAGAAGTCAGTTTTGTGAAAAATGTGCAGGTTTTGAAATGTGATTTCTTTCCCCATTTGAATGAATCAGAGACCTTTTGAAATATTTTAGTAAACAAACAAACCAGCAAACAAACAAAAAACCCCCCCCAACTCTCTCTCACTTGCTCTCTGTTTCCTGATTTGACCAGAAATTCCATCCTGGAGCTGAGAAATCCTTCCCAATGAAAGTTTCATGGACACTGATATGTTTCTGTGAAACATTTTGGTTTTGACAAATGGGCATTTTCTGACACAAAATGTTTTATCGAATAATTCCTGACCAGATCTAGCTTTAAGCTTCAGATTTTATGAAACTTGATTGAGTTCTAGAAAACTATTTCCCCTTAATATAAGCCCTGGGTTTTTCCCAGGTAAAATAAATTGAAAATCTATTTCTCTAAGCAGTCAGAGGCCTGGGCTAGGCAAACAGTAAAGATTTTGATTTGAAAGGAATTCTCTTCCTGCCAGGGCTATCAGGGAATAAAACAATATTAATAAAAACCCCGCCATGAAGCAGTTCTGCCAGGCTTTATCACAAGGGCCTGATCTTGAAAATCTTCCTTGTTAGTCTAGTTGGACTAGCATGGGGAATGGTGGTAGGATTGGACCCCTTAGTATAACAACTCAATGGGCCTAATCAACTCATTAGTCAAATTATTCAAGTTAAATGAAGGTGAATTTCACCAAGTAGTACCAGGAATCGTAACTAAAAGTGAGTGGCATTCACTGCCTCAGAACTTAGGTGTTTGTGCAAACATTCTCTTTGCCTGGATTCACATACCTTGAGCTTCAGTTTGAGGGTTTGAATAAGCCCCCAAACTTACACAAAATTGGACAGATGCCTCCAACTTTTACCCAGTCTTATGTCAAAACCATAACCGAGCTTGAAAACCCTCAGAACCTTTCCTGGGGCTTGAGCTGAGACTGGAGTTGGGAATGAGATCTGGAGGCAGACAGATTCATGCATGTGCATACAGAAAGGTTTCCACTGCTCCAAACATGACAGTGACAGGACTACATACATACACAGACTAGCTAAAGTGAGCAGTTAGATAGCTAGATCATCTGACCAAACTATTGCAAAATGACATTTTGTTTTGAAATTTAGCTAGATTGAAGAAAGCCAAAAAACAACAACAACAAGGGTATGTGTGTGATAGAGAAACCATAAAAAGGAAGAAAACGAAGCCCCAAACGTTTTCATTTGACCCCAAATAAAAACATTTTTTGGATTTTTCGGTTCAGCCACCAAACGGAAATAACTGATTATCTGCTCAGCTCTGCTTCTATCACCTAAGACTTCCCATCCCCACAGCACATCAGTAAAGTTCCCTGCGAGGCTGAGCTCACCTACTCCAAGGGAATGGCTGAAATGGAAGGAGTGCTTTTTGTGTCGCATGAGGCAAACTCACTGGCTGAAGTACTGACTCAGTGTTCAACTTTCTAACGAGCTAGATTAATCGCTGCGTGCTCCAGAGTAAAACATTCCTACACCAGCTGGTGGTTAGTGTTAATTAGTAACATTTATTTAAAACATTTTTTTTATTGTGTATAAAACAGCAAGAAATGCCTTTTCATCAGCTTGAAGAGGGATGGATGGTTATGGTGAGATAACCGCACCACAGAGAAATCTAGGTGCATAGGTGGGCCTCGTGGGATGTTGCTGCATCCTTGGCTTGGTTGTACCAAATCAATTATATATACACACATAATATAATATATCCCCCATTCACTGCTGACTGCCAAAACCTGAAAAAAACACCACCTCACAACTGATACCCTTTGTGTCAGCCATAGCAAACAGGCTATATGTTGAATGCCTATGGAAACTGGTCTAATCCCTCAACCCTAGAGGCAGTCTCTCCAGTGCAGGGTTGAGCCATATTTGTGGTGTGGAGCTGGACCTATTCTGTGGATACATAAAGGATTTCAGTCTCCAGGGCTGTTAAGTGAGTTGAGCAGGGATACGACCAGGGGGTCAGTGAACGGCACTGATCCACCACATGAAAGGCCTTATGTAGGCCCCGGCTACAGCACATGGGTTGCAACACGAGATGGACAAAGCAGGCTAGCTGAGTGCCAATCCCATCCCATCCCACCAAGACAGACTCCCACAGTGTCCTCCTTCCACAGTCACTCTTCTACCCATAACTGAATTCAGGGAGGAGATCCGGAAGAGTCGGCCATAAGAGATGTAGCTGACGATCTTCAGCTGAGCCAGGCTCAGCACGGCTCATACAAGATCAGCCAGGAACAAGCCCCCTTTTGGTATACCTGGGAGAACTGCCACACATGCACCATATTGGTTTCAGCTTGACCTGGCCGCACATATGTGCAGGGTGGACATATGTGCATGGGGCCGGCTTACCAGGTAAGATCTCCTGACCTTAGTGTCCAGCTACAAGGTAGCTCCTATGGCAGAGAGAAACACACTGGAGCAGGATATCATTGCTCAGAAAGAGAGGACGTATCAGATAAAGTTATCAGCACTGGACCATCTCAATAGGATGGAAACCAACTGGATCTGAGAATCGGGATGGTTTGGCTTACCTGGGTAAGGGTGGATGCCATTAGCGAACACAGCTTCTGCGGCGGGCTGCCCATTAGCCTGCGGTGGGAGGCCAGTGAAACCATTCACCCCGATTGGGGATGGGATGCTAGGCACAGCCGGTGCAGTGATGCCAGGAGGTGTGCTCCCACCTACAGGAAGGAAGTAAACAGAGGGGAAAAAAACAGCCTTAGGATGGTGAATTCCACAGGTGGTGACCACACACAGCAAACCCGGATACTACGGTGATGAACACCAGAGGGACGCCTATAGATAACAAAATGAATAAAGGTCAAAACCATCTCACAATGCAATGGACAGTTTGCACCATCACGGGCAAGACTGTGCAACAGTTGCTCACGTTGCGGAGAGCGTAACATGAGAGGTTTGCCCGAGCTTGTTTAACCCCAGGAGTGGGCTTTTCCTCCAGTGATCACAACCTTTAGACTAGATCCTCAGCTGGTGTCAACTGGCATAGTTCCAATGGTGCTAAGATCTGGCCTAATTTATTGGCAAATCATCAAGGCTTTTGTTTTCAAAACATTGTTTGGCCTCAGAAGAGAACTCTGAGTCCCACCTGCATAGAGCATCTCATGTCATTTTGGTTTTAGTCTTGGAGATGTCAACCTTCTGATCTTACTGAATCCAACGACTGGCCTACGGCCAAGGCTGTCACATGACCTGCCTCTGAACTAGTAGGCTCTTCAGTTTTAGAATACACTGAGTAGATGGCTAGTCCAAGAAGGAAAAAAGAACAGCTACAGTTTGTAGCATTATAACAGCTACCCCTACAAGGACAGCATTTCACTGGTGCAGTTTCACCCAACCCTGTCATGTACCTTGCCGTTCTGGCTGTACTGAGAGAGGCTGACAGAGCAATGGCTAAATTCCGGGGTGAGTCGAGCGTTCTGCCTACATTAGAGAAATAGGTGTACCAGTGATGAGCCCAGTGTGGGTATGCGGCACCTATGTAAGACAAGGTCAACACTGCTAAGATTTAATCTCATAATTTAACAGAATAAGACGAATGGTTCTCATCTCTTCTTGACTTCAGTGCATCTGTGTATTTGCACCAGATAAAGTTTTGCTAATGGAGACAGGACCTAAGGAAGTCCAGGAGTAGTCTAAATTTAAGCAGCCCCCCAACATGTAAATTACTCCAGCACACACCTTCCAGACTCAGCGAGACTCACACCCATTTAATGTGACCAGGTGCATTCTTCTTTTACCTCTGAAGAAGAGCTGTGTGTGGCTTGAACGCTTGTCTCGCTCACCAACAGGAACTGGTCCAATAAAACATATTAACTCATCCAGCTTGTCTCTCTAATATCCTGGGACCGACATGGATTCTGCTGTACTGCATACCCACTTAATGTGTCATTCACCCCTCCCTTTGTATAGACTCCAAGGCCAGACGGGACTATTAGATGATAACATCTGACCTCCTGTATAGCACATGCCATAGAACTTCCCCAAACTAATTCCTTTTGAACTAGAGCATACATTTTAATTAAATATATTATATTTGAATTAGGCCATTGACTCTAATGGCATGTAAGAGGCTTTAACTCATGCACCACATGTAATTTGCACCAGTGTAGACATTCTTACACAGCAGTAGGTGGGAATAAGTAACAGAGTGTAATTGAGTCTAGTTCCCTCTGCCTCACACATCATGTCTGAATTTATTATCATGATATTTTATTAAGGCAACGCTTAGAGGTCTCATCTGAGACCAGGGCCCAGTGGTGCTAGTCACTGCATAGACACAAAGTAAGAAGATCCGAAGATTTTACAAAAGAAATAGACAAAGGGTGAGAGGGGAAACTGAGGCACAGAGCGATGACACAACTTGCCCACGGTCATGCAGCAGAGACAGGAACAGCACTCAGCTCTCCAGAGCTGCAATCCAGTGCCGTAATCAGTAGAGAACCTCGCCTCTGGGAAGCTGATCTCCAATAGCAACACCCAGCAAAGTGATAACCATTCACCCAGCTGCAATACTCTGACAGAGGCTCCTTGCATGTTTTCAGGGGGCCTTACGTACAATCCCACCACCAAAGTGACATGAAAGTTGGGGTTGATTCCCTGCTTCTGACAAACACACCCTCTACCGCATCCCTGCCAGAGGTGACTCACTAAAAATATTTCTGAAGAGCAATTTTCTTTTTGCTTTTGGAAGGGATCAGCTTGTCCAGGTGGCAGGTATTTTCAAAATATTTCCCAGGGGCAAGAGTGATTGGTTAATCAGTCAGCTGGCTGGCTAGCAGTGATTTCAGCAGAGGAAGAGTCTTCCTGGATTCCAACTGCAGACTCCTACAAGCAAGTGGAGGGAAGATGTTGTTTTTCAGAAGGGACCATTATGATCATCTAGTCCGACTTCCTGCACAACGCAGGCCACAGAATCTCACCCACCCACTCCTGCGTTAGACCTCTCACCTATGTCTGAGCTATTGAAGTCCTCAAATCATGGTTTAAAGACGTCAAGGAGCAGAGAATCTTCCAGCAAGTGACCTGTGCCCCATGCTACAGAGGAAGGTGAAAAACCTCCAGGGCCTCTTCCAATCTGCCCTGGAGGAAAATTCCTTCCCGACCCCAAATATGGTGATAAGCTAAACCCTGAGCATATGCGCAAGATGGTGTTTTAGATTCCACAGACTGTATAGATTTGGTGATCAAAGACTCTAACTGAGACTCAGGTGAACAAAACCTAAGCTTTTGGGAACTCTCCGTTTTTTCTCACTGTGTTTCTGTGGGTACTGATTTTAATTTGTTTCCTTTATTTGTTTTTATGTATAACTGTGAAAGTAATGTCTGTGGATTATAAAATAGCCATGTCAAGCTGTAAAAATTAGCTTATTATTTGTTTATTTATCGTATGATTTTATAAAGTTATTTAATTAAATTCATTTCTTTAGTTCCTTTTGGGACTTGAATGTGGGGAGGTTGACCCTCTGCAATCCTTGCTGAAAATCTGTAGAGACTGAATTCTGGGTCTCCAGTGACTTTCTATGGGAGTTGTTTTTTTTTTTAAGGCACTGGAGATGGGAAAAGAAATGAACTCTAGCCCACGCAAAGGTTACACAAACATTCCGCTTTCACTATATCATAGTGGATGCTATTTCAGTGCCTTCCTGCTACCCAGAACAGACACGTTGCTGCTTCCCCTTTGCTTCAGATGTTGCTGGCCTGAAGAAATTCCCTCTATGCCGTATGCGGGTCCAGGGAACAAGAGGTGACATCCTGAGGTCCAAGGGCAAAACTCTTTGCACACATCATCAGTCTGAATGTCACAGAGGCTAGTTAGCATTTCAGTCGCTTTTCCTGACCTCTCCTCTATTTGCATAGGAAATGTGATTTCTTTACTTAAAATTGCACTGAGGATTTTTTTTTTAAGTTTATTCCCCTCAATTTTAAAATTTTCCTTTGCATAAACCCAGTGGGGCTGGATCCTGAGCTGGAGTAAGTCAGCGTAGCGCCGCTGAAATGAGTGGAAGGAAACCACTTTACACTAGCTGATGATTTGGTCCTATATTTGGAAATATTTTGTTGCGATTACACAGATGATGTGAGAGATGCAAAACTCACATAGAAGGAACAGTAGAAAGGTGGTGTGGGGGAGGAATAAATGGCAAATTCTGAACAGCAGGGTGATCAAGTTGTGGCCTGTAAGTCCAAGGCCACACATGGTCCAAGGTCACTAGGATCAAGATGGAGCACTGCTATCTAGTTAACTACCATGCTAGTTTAACACCAACAGACCCCAGTTGTCGGTGGGTGGGATTGAACCTGGGACCTCTAGAGCTAAATGCATGAGTCTGTACTATATGAGCTAAAAGCCACAGGGCCGTTAGCTAAGGCTGTAGCAGACTCATTAATCTCTCTCTAAGTGGTCTTGGTGCCACTTGAGGGGCCAGAGCACCACACCCAGGTGTCTGGGTTACAGTAGCCACATTAGCAATACCACTGACAGACAGAAAACAAGATAGAGGGGCATATATGGCAGTAGATGGATAGATGTACTTCTCTGTTTTCCCTCCCAGCCTTTGTCTGTCATTTTTATTCAGACAGTAATCTGTGTGGGGTCGGGATTATGTGTCTGCACAGAGCCTAGCACAATGGGACCTTGAGTTCAGTTGGGAAGTCTAAGTGCTACCATAACGCAGATAATAAATGATGATAATTAGAGCTGGTCGGAAATGTTCTGGCTGCCATCCCCACTGCCTCTAGGGACCCCCATCCTTCTTCATCCTAATTTTGAAAATGGACCTGACCAGACCAGGCCAGGGAGAAGGACTCAGATGGCATCACCATCTTCTCCGGCTCCAGCTGAATCCTGAACACCACATGGCACGTGAGACTTTCTCACCCGCACTTTGCATGTGTCCTTTTCCTTCTCCACCTTATTTCTTCTCTTCCCTAGCCTCCTTTTGCCTTCTCTCTACTAAGAATCTGTCTTAGCTGGTCAAGACTGTAGATTTTGCAACACTGCTGTAAGCCTGTGACCAGAAAGAGGAAGTTAAATGCAATGCCCTAAGCCTGATACTGGTACAAGTTTGCCAGGACTCTGAGTGGCTGATAAGACCATGTGGTGCGCCTGGGTTTCCCAGCAGTGAGGTTGCAAATGAAAGCCAACACCAGAGACAGAAGGTGCATTTTCTATCTTTGCTGGTCTCTTCTCTCCCGCTTTGGGTGGGTTTGTCTTGCTTTGTCTTCTTGGAAATGGGATTGAACAGCGGCAGCTACAACATAGCTCCAGCCCATCTCAACTAACTTTTTCTCTTTTTGCCAAAAAGGACAGGTATTATCCTCTAAGAGATGAGACAGACAAGGTGGGTCAGGTTTCAGAGTAGCAGCCGTGTTAGTCTGTATTCGCAAAAAGAACAGGAGGACTTGTGGCACCTTAGAGACTAACCAATTTATTTGAGCATAAGCTTTCGTGAGCTACAGCTCACTTCATCTGGTAGGTGATATCTTTTATTGGACCAACTTCTGTTAATGAAAGAGACACGCTTTCGAGCTTACACAGAGCTCTTCTGCAGGTCTCTGTGTAGCTCAAAAGCGTGTCTCTTTCACCAACAGAAGTTGGTCCAATAAAAGATATTACCTTACCCACCTTGTCTCTCTAATATCCTGGGACCAACACAGCTAC